GGTCGCTCACCGTGCACCAGGCTGACCAGCGGTCCACAAAGAGCGAAAATTACTTGGAAAGTTTGTTTCGCGTTTCCTGCAACTTTCGCGTTCAAAACTGCGAACGTTCGCACGAAGTTTCGCTTTTCGTGACGTCAAACGAAAATTCGCGCGAACGTTCGCTCTGCAAAACCTCTCTACTTACTAGCGGTCTCCGTGAAAACTGATGTCACACTGATGACCTGTAACTGGTGTAAGGTTGTACATGACGCAATTGTTAGATTGACAGCATGAAACAAGGTGGAGGACACTGTGTTCGAAAACAGTGACCTTACTGCAACCTTCCGCGGTGGGACCGGGGCTCTGCCAACCGCGGAAGGTTGTAGGAAGGTCACTGTTTCCGAACACAGTGACTGTGTCCTCCACCTTGTTTCATGCTGTCAATCTAACAATATGCGTGAACTATAACAAGGTTTATCTAACACTAGTTCTGAACGTGTATTGGGTTATATTATTATACTAAAGTTGTACTTGTAGTTGTAGTAAGAGTGTATAACCCCCTGGGGGGGGGGGGGGGTTATACTCTTGGTTGTAGAGTGTAGCACAGATCATCTCTGACATCAGTTTCCACGGAGACCACTATTAGTCGCTTATAATAGGGCTTGAAAGTGCTACGTCACAGCATAGCAACAATTAATTTGAAAAATTCAAAAACTGGATCCACTTGGATCCAGTTTTTGTATGAATACAAGCACATTTCAAGCGATCTTACTCACAGCAAGGTGATGTAGCCAGTGAAACTGACTGGATTGGCTAATGGGGGCGGGGTGACAACTGGTGGCGAAGAAAAAGTCACACCTGCGTACGACATGCGTGGTTTGCTATGCACCCACACACTGAGGCAATAGCAAAGTCACACTGGTGCTGTTTCCTGATGCTGGTAGTAGCGACACTTGGCTTGCAGCTGCAGCCATGCTAGCTGTAGCTGACCTTTAATGAAATTGCTTTAGACTGGTCCGCTAATGTGTCTTGTACTTCGAAGTATGATTTGCATCCTTTGTGGAAATAGTTGGGTTCTGCGAAGGAGTGTTTCCATCCTGAGCGGGTATAAGGACAGACAATATTTTGAAGAATTGCGTGTCGCTCCCTACATGGGAGCTCGCGAATTTTCCTGCCGACTTGACACTTGACTGACTGACGACAGCCACCCCTGAGAGCACTCCAGAAGTCCATCCAGCCTTCCACTTAGCAAACCTGCAAGAAAGCACCACTCCGGACTCCCTGATCGATACACAGTGTCTTCTAGAACTCACCCCTCATTAGTTCAACTAACTAACTTGAGCAGGCTAAAGAAATGTGTGCACCGAGAAGGCATTTCCCAAATCGGCCCGATTTTTTCACCTAATCGGCTTTGCGATCGGCTAAGAGAATGTCCAAATTCGGCCATATTATGAGCCCCAAAGTCAGACTTCGGCTCAAAGCAGTACTTGAATTCACCGCTTGTAATGCAGTGTCAGGGATTGGTATTATATAACCCAATACTAGTTCAAAAACTAGTATTAGATAAACCTTGGTATAGTTCACACATATTGTTAGATTGACAGCATGAAACAAGGTGGAGGATACTGTGTTCGGAAACAGTGAGCCCAGTGAAGGATCAGGCCGATTCAGGCGCTAGGCAAGGCCATGTAATGGCGCCAGAAGGGTAGATCTACCTGCAAAAGGTGATACCGGTAGGGTAGTGGACCGTATGCGTGATAAAACAAGATGGCGTCAATATCGTGCAGGAGAAGACTGGGGTGTTGGCGTCCAGTGTACAGACACCAGTCACATTTCCTGTGTCTTTTGCAGCATACAGGCTGAGACCTATCACTGTAGAGTCCACTACTGCATGAGTTATATTTGTACCAGGGAGTAGTAAAATACAGGGAGGTGACACGAGCATGTACGGCCAGTTTGACGATTGCCTCAGCACCGTTTTCACCCGGCGGGTGAGATTGGGGTACTATGCGTACCGAAGTGTGTGACACGCGCGCGGATCAGGATTCTCTCGATCAGGGAGTAGTAAAATACCTACCGCCAAAGAGACTCCTACTGCAGCCCGTAGAAATTCAGCGCTGAGAATTTCCAACAATTGTTTGCCTTTACAAAGTTTGGTACTCGACCAAACTACCACTATGTCAGGATAGAAGTCCAGCAAGAGTGGTATCACTTTGGGAGATATCCCTGCGTGCCGTAGATTTTTCCTGTGTCGATACAAGCTGTTTACGACGACGTAGCCCGCATTTCAATCCTTGACATACTTAGGAACATTTTATTCCGAAAAGTGAACACCCGAATCTCTAGCATACCATAATATGAAATGCTCATCATCACAAAGAAGGTAGAGAAGTACTGGTTGATCACAACTGAGGAGAAATTAGTGCCGATCGTGTGGTGTCCTAGAGATTTTTTCGACTTCGAAATCGGTGCACTCGCTTTTCATCTCCAATCGTACACGTATTGTTCTCAAGGAAATCACCTTCGTTCTATTGCTCCATGCCGTCGATCGGGACGAATTTCGGAAAGGTGATACCTTTCCATATGATGATGACACAGATGTATCACAAGAGCAAAACAAATGCTGTTCCATAGGATGGATAGAGCTTTTCTCGGAATTAGTTCTTCGACAAATACTCAAGATTGATTCAGCAATTTGAAACTCGGATGTTGAGCCATAAATAAATGTGGAAGAGAAAAAGACATATGGATACGAGTTAAGAGTAACTCTCCATCACTGTAACATGCTTGTACAATTCGTTTTCGCAAAGCTTCCCTTTCTTTACTTATCTTTGATATTTATGACCCACCCAAGTTGGGTGGTGTGCTGCTTTGCTGCTTCGAATTGTAGTTAGACCGCTTTGTCAAATATCGTACTGGTCTCGTCATCGTCCAGTAACAATCGACATTCTTTGTTCCGTTGGGACTGTGGCTTTTGCTCGTTTTCGTTGCGCTTGCCTTCCCCTCTTTGGTCTTTTCCATAACCTTGAACCTTCCAAGTTGGAAGGCTGTCGGTTAGTGCTACGGAGATGTGTTAAAGCTAGGTGTCAGGACGTCGAATGTTTCAGTACTCTGTCAGTTTTGTGCCTAGTTATTGCACTTTCTGACTGTATATAGTATCATGTTACAGTGATGGAGAGTTACTCTTAACTCGTATCCATATGTCTTTTTCTCTTCCACATTGATTCAGCAGATCATCTTTTTTTGCGAAAGAAAAAAAAACAAGCGCGAGGTACCCATCAAAAATCACGATTAGTGGCGTGTCACCTCCCTGTATTTTACTACTCCCTGATTTGTACAATACATAGCAGGCGTACACGGTGTGCCTCGCAGGACTGCGAGATGCTGCAGAAGACCAGGTTCAACCTTTCTGGAGGGCCATTCACCGACGGCGGGCTACACGATGCTGGAGGAACTAGGTTCCAGTGAAAACCCAAGATTCCTTTGCTCCTGGACGCTCCGACGGGTTGTGATATCTGCCAGGTGCGCAGTAACTAGTATTTTCATCGCTATAGCGAGGACGACGCGGATCGGCAAAACTCTCGCTCACAGCCATCACCAGCCTCTCAAAAACATCACTTGGCATCCCCCAGAGCCTCTGAGGTATAGGAGAAAGCCAAAACAGCTCACAACAAACAAAAGCTAAAGACGATGGAAAGAGAGCATGTCAACAACAAGACGAACAGGTTGAAGTTCAAATGGTTTTGAACACTCTTACCACCAACTATACCACTTCTTTCAATAAATCGTGACGGCATTTTGTTTTAACGAGTGAGGAGATAGCTTCTTCTGCGCTCTTCCATCGTAGTTCTTCTGAGTGCGCCGGAGAGTACTGAAGTATGAGAAAAGTCAAAACTGAATCCTGAGCTGCGAACCCCAAACATGGCATCAAGACACGTGCCTGTTGCCAAGTCGTTGCTAGCATTTGGCCAATCCCTGCTTCGTAGTAACAAGAGGACATAACCCCAGGGGGTGGGGGTTATGTCCTCTTGGCAGTAACCATTCACGCTACCGTCTGTTTTCTCTTGCTTATTTGGCTGCAGACAGATGGAATAGCGCTCCATCTGATATCCGCACTGCTGCATCATCCCTATTTCGCCCTGCATTACTTTCATTCTTAGGGTACCCCGTAAGAAGACCTTGAGTCGGTGGGGACTGCCCTATTGAAATATGAATAAATACCGGTAAAAATGTGAAAAAGAGGTTGGTGCGACTTCGGCGATAGTACTAGTAGGAAGAAGTCCATCGAACCGTCCACTCGGCAAACCTGCAGGCTGCAAGAAAGCACCACTCCCCGCTCAATACACAGTGTTTCGGGGAATTCACCCCTCATCAGTTGAGTCAGTCAACGGAGCGTCTCTTGAAGTTTGTATCCCTGGTGATGTTTGTGCCTGGAGAGCAGTATAATATAAGTGGTGCTCTTCAGGCACAATCTTCCTCAGCCTACTCAAGGAATCGTTGTTGTACCGTTAAGCTAATGCCAGTAATGGGTTAATGAACAATGCAACACGAATGAACTTTTATAGAACAACCAAGGAGCAACAACTTAGTGACAGTCACTGAAAGGTACAATCACGTGATTTGTAAGGAAGAAATGATAAAATTTTGAAAATGAGCGAACATACACCTAGCGGGTGCTAACAACCGTTGCTAAGGCCATGGTAAAAATTATCTTTGATTTCTCAAGTACGCGGGCACCGATTTTTGGCGGCGTACCGACGAGTTTTTTTTAATTCTATGCAAATGCGCGCATGAAAACGGTCAATCCGAAAGGAATGAATCGAGGAGAATACTAGTACCGGTATTTTTCAACTCCCTGGCCTGAATAATTATGACCATGTACATATGTGTGACCAAGAGTGCATAAACAGTTTATGGACTCTTGGTGTGACCCTATCTTTGGAAATAAAAAAATTGTGGGAAATAAAATATAAAATCGCTCGCTCGCACCGATTTTCACAGGCTCATGACCTGAGAATCAACTTTATTTGTTTTACCATGGCCTAATCAAAATACTATTATGACAAAGTGATGACTGACTGGTAATAGCAGAACAATCCGCAGGTCTATATCTGTGCTTCGTGAATATAATCTCTTGATTATTAAATATGTATGGGCATGCTGGCAGCTTTCTGTCGCTCATCTTCTTTCTTCATACTGGTGATATTGAGAATCTGTCTTTTTCACTCACAAAGCAACTGTTCAGTACGTGGGGTAGTGGTCTACCAGAGCAATCACACTCACCACCGTAGTGGTTTTCCAGAAATGAGTAGAAGCAAAAACCACACTCGCAGCCACATAATAGATAAATAGCCCAAAACATCTAAATCATCAATCAACGAACCGCCAGCAAGCGGGAGAAAACTCAGAAAAGATCGCAAAATCAAGTGAAAACGGCATGGGTGACTGGGCAGCAGGGGAGCGCCTGAAAACAATGACTCCCTACATTCCTAGCCGCGACCGCTCAACCGGGCTAGAGGAAAAACACGCCTTTCGGCCAAAAAAACCTTTCTAATTTATTAATTCCTGCCCCGCTGCCAGTCAGACCCAAGAATAGAGACAACAAGAAATTGTATGTAATAACCGGTGTATGTCATAATCATAAGCCACACACATCGGCATAGAATATCAAGAAGAACAGCGGAAGACCCCCATAACACCAGGGTGGGTGGGTGGGCAACTTCAACTACCACGAGGAAAAACAAAGACCACGATGGCAGGTTCAACGGAGTTGCGTATAACAAGAGCAAACACATGAAAATATCTGTGAGTAAAAAATACGTTTTTTGCACTCTTTCGCTCCGCTCAGGCGTGTAAAAACAAATAGTTCAAGCATTGGACGGCATGTTTGCAGCAAGTACTCTGCGACAATCACGGAGACTGGAAAGACAAATAGCATCACGGTTGAGCTCGCTAACCGCTGTCTCCAGTGCACCGAGCACATGGCCAAGCGCCTTCAGAAACACAGACATGGCCGGAACAGCAGCCAGTGATGTCAGTGAACTGGGCAGACATTCACAGCCAGTGCGCATAAACCAATCGGCGAGCCAGAACCTTGTGGCATGCTGGTCTAGTCTAGATGCGGATAGAAGAAATTGCTTGTCACCACCGGACGCTAGTAACATGTTGTGGAGTAAGCTATCCAGAGGGGGCTGCTGCTGCTGGTGGTCAGGGTGGTCAGGGTGCAGATTAGATGCTGGTGATGAAGTCTTGCCACTGCTGCTACTGCCGCTAGAGGTGAGGGTGGCGGTGATAGTGACACCGCTGTTGACAGCTTGAAGGAGAGATGAGCAGCAGGAGATGATCATATCAGCAATCAAATGTGTTGTCGATCGCTTTGAAGAGCTCAAGCGTTCCAACACTTGCAGTAGCGAAGTAGAGAATGCGGATGTTTGCCTGTGACACGCTAGGCTGCTTAGCAACATGATCATGTCCACTATTTGATCATCCGGGCAGTTATCCACTACAGTTTCCACCGCCATGAGCAACGGTCCAACGCCATTGTCTGAGTGCATGGCTTCAAGCATTCTGAACGCAAACATGCGCAACGTCAACACCTCAGACTGGTGATGATTGGCTTTCCTGGCGGCCTCCTGGCTGTATGCCCTCATCAGGCTTGGTGACAAGTAGATCAGATCAGAGAGAACCTGAGAATTGCATAGAGAACACACCCACACATACACACACACACACACACACAAACACACAAACACACACACACACACACACACATACACACACACACACACACACACACACACACACACACACACATGCGCGTGTGCACGTAGCCAGAAGAGACGTATTACGTCATTAGTTGTCCAAACATCATCTATTGCCCCCCCCCCCCCCCCCATAATGGAGAGCTTGTGCATACAGCCGTCGGTGTATGGGAGAGGAGACACTTGCAGAAATTATGCATGAGCATCTAATGACTAGGTCTAGCAACACATCACGTACATGTATGTGACGGCTGCAGTGACGTTAGTGGAGTGATTTGTGCTGTGACAATCAAAGTAACAACCAGTGGTGGTGCACACCCAATTTCCACATTCCAAGCCGTTGTAAATATTCTCTCTCTCTCTCTCTCTCTCTCTCTCTCTCTCTCTCTCTCTCTCTCTCTCTCTCTCTCTATCTCTCTCTCTCTCTCTTTAAAAAATCTACAACTCGTTTGTTTGTTTACTGTGTTACTCAACTGCCACTACATGCTCTGTCCCATCCGGCAGCCTTGAGAAGGAGAGAAAGGAAAGTCACGTACGAGACAAACAAATAATAGAGCGCATGACTACTGCAAATACTACAACGAATTTGTTTGAGAACAAAATAATGCACTGGAATAGAATTCCCTTCGAAGCTAGAATGGGGTTTGTGATGAGAAATTGAGAATCCTTACAGAAGCTAGGGAACTAGAACTAGGCGGAGAGTTTGGCTAACTGTTACACACTCCTGCAATCAGCTACAAAGTAAGACTAAGAGTATGCGTAATACAACACAAATTAATAACATCATTGTAATACAGAACTACTTGTACTAGTAGTAGTCTATTTACCACCGGAGTGTTAACCTTCATGTAACCTAATCATTCACAACTGACATGCAACAATACACAAACTTCACAGCACTAACCTTGCTCTCGTTAGAGTTGATCCATTGCGTCACCACAGGACAGAGAAGATCTTCCCAGACGATCTCGCCGTGGTCGGTGTGATCGCGACACGAGCTCCAGACGTTCGCGATGGCCTCGGGCAGGAAGGCCGCACACTGGTGTTTCTCCCTGTCAGCAAATAACTCTCCGAGCGATGCACACAGGCACTTTAATTCTACACTCGGTAACTTCCCGCTGTATAGCCTGGACAGGAGAAGCTTCTGATTATCCAGAGAAAACTTGAGAAACGTTCCGTCGGTGATCAGGTTGACCAGCATGGTGCTGTCGTATTCTTTAGCGTAGCTCTTCAACAGTATTGTCAGGCACTCGCTATGAACATCTCCAGGAGCGGACGACATTCTTAGCAGTTTGATCATGACCGATGACCATTCGAATGTGGGTGGGATTTCCACGGCTTGGCACAGCGATCGTAGCAGTGTATGAATACACGGCCACAGCATTGTGTTGACAACGCCATCACCTGTACGAGTAGGAATGGTTACTTGACTTGTGAGGGCTGAAAGCTGAGCAACAATTTGTTGCAGAACAGATTGGACGTTCGACTTCGACCGAACCGCCATGGACTCTTCATCAGGATTGTGCAAGGCCTGTAGTGAGTTCTCTTCGTATAGCTGATACCATACTTCACCAACAGCTTGCACCGCGATGGATGAGAAAGATGTGTCGGCGCTGTGTCTCGCCGTGTCCAAGCCCTTCACCAGATCATATGCAGGTACCGGGCATGCTTTGATGTGCAGTTTTTTCTCTTCTCGCCACATGAGATGATTCTCTCCAAGTAATACTTGCATACTGGCAACTTGACATTCCCAAGATTGCAGGAGACCGCTGCCAGCAGAGAGATTACCAGCACTACGTAGAGTGTCTTTCAGCTGGTCATATGTACTGGATAGCACGGACTGTGACGTCTTCTCTCCAAGCAAGGACAGTGCCATCAAACACAGCATGCGTGACTTGGACACCAGTGGCGAAGTAATGGCACCACTATCAGCTACCAGCAAAGTATTGGCCAGCATCTGATCTCTCTCAGTGAGCTTGTCCAGTGCATGCGATACCAGGTATGCGTAGCACACTGACCAGGAGTACAGGGAAGCCTCCTTGGCGAATCTTGACAATTCAGTCTTCGACTTTTCCGCGTCGAAAACACCTTCGGCACGTGATAACAGCATGGAGCAGACGGTGAGACCCTTGTCGAACGTCAACTCTTTGTTTTGAGTGTTCTTCAAGAGATCGGTGACAACTTGGCCGGCAACAAGCGTAGCGCCATCCCTGTGTGCAGCGAATGCTGATAAATACTGCTCCCGAGCTTCCTCGAACAACTTCATACCGCGCACTCCTTCCACGACCCAAACGCGCGTTGTGACCATAGCCGAGAAGAGTGTACCCATAGAGAAGGGCAGGACCAGGTGCAAGAGACGATTATCACCGTAGTCAAGGGCGGCTATCATTTGGTGTGTGCCAGCGCCAGGTAGTTTAGCACAGTGTTGTGACAGCGTATCAGTGATCATCTTCAGTACTGGCCAGTCTCTTCCCACCAGTGTATGGCATAGAGAGGTCACACCAAGAAACAGTGCACTCAGGCAGAGGGCACCGTGTTTGCCTTTGCTCACCTGTCCCTGTGTTCCCCAGCTGAAGATCTGCTCGTTGGCAAAGACACCTCCAGCACACATCACCTTGTCCGACGCCATGTTCATCATCGTCGCTATCATCTTGGCTTTCCAGCTCCGGAGGCGTGGATAGATTGATACTGGAAGATCAGTGTTACAGAAATCACAAGTCACGCGGTACAACTGGGTCAGTGCCAGGGTGCTGTTGAAGAGACTGTTCGTACCCAGCCTGGACGCCTTCTGTAACACATCAAATATCTTGTCACGTGCCCCAGAAAATGCCTGAAGCTTGTTGACGAGGCTCTCCTCGTCAGTGTGGTTCACCTGGATCAGGTGTGCAAAGAGACGACGCAGGAATGCACACCATTTCTCAGCCAGACCCAGGATATCCATAGTACCAGCATTGGGAGCAGGCGGTGCAATCTGAGAGAGGAGATTCTGCAGCAGGATGAGGTGACGGTCGGTGGTCGCGTTACGACTGGCCTTACTCGCTATAGAACTAGGCTGATGACAGGACAGCAAACCAGCTGCCAGGCTTGGTAGCGATGCCGGTGACTTGCAGGATTCGTACAGCTTCAGCAATGATTTCGGCACGTTGCCGAGAACACGCACTAGTCGAGCATCAACACATTTCACGGTACTGATGTTGTTGTTGTTGGTAGGACGGCAGCGATCATTGGAGGCTGGACCACGTGACTGTGTCTTCAGTTCATGTTGCAGCAAGTGAGCAAGGAACTTAGCGTGACCGTCTGTAGCTCCAACGTTGCAGACCATTAGCGCTGAGAGTGCATCGGCTGGAATGGGCTGAGCACCGAACTGATCCTGTGACGGAGGAGCAGGCCATGGAGAAGCTGCTCCATTCGATGCCGTCTTGCAACCACTGCCATTGCTGCGGGCTTGTGTAGAGGACACGGTGGAATCATGTGCGGCGGCCGCGTCTTGGCTGCTGGCAGGTTTCAGTAGCCCAGTGTCCAGTAAGGCTTGGATGTGTGCAGGGGGCAGCATTGACGCTTGGAAACACTCCACGGGAAAGCAGGACAGCGCCTCGTACGCTGCTGAGATGACGGTGGTGCTGCTCGCAGGCTGTGAGAAGATCATCCTGAATAAACTGGAAATGAGCTCATGATACAGTGCCTCGTCTTGGCGACTTGGCAACTGTTCTCCTTGCAACTCAGCCATGGACCCCATCAGTCTGCAAACGGCAGCTTGTGCCAGCTCCCTGGTTTGCATGCTGAGCTCTTGACCCAATGTAGTCCACACCGCTTTGAACTCGACCACCTCGTTCAATATCATCAAGTGAAGACTGCGAGTGGCCATTGCGATCACCTCTCCACGCACATCCAATCTCACTGGTGCCGAAAGCAATCTACGGATGATGGGCATGACGTCACTAGCGTGTTGAGATGACCGCGTCTGAGCGATGTCAAGAACTGTTGCAGAGCATGACATCAGCATCTCCGACGATGACGTCATGTGTTCGGCGCACACCGTCAGAACCTTCAGCAACTGCGGAAAGAGACGATCCATCTTCTGCCAAATTTTGCACACGAGACGCAGCGACAGCGGCTGTAGTGATGCTTGTGCCATCAGCCCTGTTATGGTGGCAACCACTGGTGATAGCATGACGTTGTGTGTGACCATCTCAGGCAGAGCGTGTAGAATAGCTAGCTGCACGTCCGCTTCCATAGTGCTGACGTTGAAACAGTGTAACAGCATCTTCAGCAGGTCATGTGACAGCGGAGGGCACGCCACTGCCAGGCTCTGCATAGCCAACACGGACGCTAAGCGTAGCTCTCTGCACGACCACCCAGACACCAGGACGGAGCTGACCACCATTGCTACCATGGAAAACTTGTACAGGGACGGCGTGTCCAGAGCAGCCTGCGGATTAATCTTCTTTAACTCTGACTTCGTATGATCAAGCCATAGCTTACACAGCTCGGGTTCGCGTTGAAACAGGAGCGGCAGGCGGGCTGCAGAGCGGATATACTGTGCCAGTGAGCTGACGAACGGGACTTGAACTGACTCTGCAGCGGTGGTGTCTGCGCCATTCAGGCTATGAGCAGCGCCACCACCTGCAGTAGTATTGCTATGACTGCCACCAGCCAACACCAGGCTATTTTGTATAGCAGTTTGACACTCCAAAAGCAACGCAGCTGCGGATGACGATGGAGTAGATGATGTAATAGTAGTAGTAGTAATATTAGTACAGTACAAGGGCAAAGCACCCAGCGACTGATCGGCGGCACTGCTCATGAACGGTAGAAACTTCAATAGTAGATTTAGAACGATGGTGGCGAAGAGAGTTGGCTGGTGTGCCAATACCACGTACAAACTTGGAACAAACACAACGGCAGTGGTTGCAGATGCATCAATGGACTCGATCTCCTTCAGCATGACGTCAAGAGGTTGATTGTTAGCCGCCGCCATGTCCAAAAGCCATGCCGCAGCAATGTGGTACATGGATAACTTATACGACTCCTCAATTGCGGTGGCGAAGACTGACAACCACACTAGCTTCCTGACTCTGCGATAGCATTGCAGAGCGCTCATACTGGATTCAAACCTTGACATATTCCTACTACACAGCCAGTCAATGAGCAGTTTGACAACGTAACACACATAGCTGCTTCCTTCACGCTGCTGCTGCTGCTTACCGTTCTCATGCGACGGAACGCCATTTACACTCTTTTCACTCGGTACCACGTAGTCCATGTCGGCTTGCATGGACTCAAGAGCGCTCTCGACCAGAATCTCCACCAGCCTCTCACGATACTCAAAACCCACGTTGTCATAGAGAATGAAGTGGACGACGGGCTCGGCAATGCTCCACAGTCTTTGCTGCTGCGTGTGGGTAGTAGCCGCACTGCTGTGTACCATGGAGAGAAGGTGACGCAGTGCATGTACCACCGCCACTCTGGCACTTGGGGAGTACCTGAATGCGGACACCAGTGGATGTGAGCCATGGCCGCTGTTGGACTTGGATGAGCTGTTGAGTGCCGACCAGAAATTGTTTTCCTTAGACTCCACCAACAGACTCAAAATGCTGCCAGTGATGATCCATGTACATCTGGCAGAGGAGAGAATACTAAGCAGCCGCTGTGTAACAATCTGTGCTGACCATTGGCCGCAGCGCACACGTCGCAGCAGTACATCGCAGCATTCTGACACAACAGCCACATCCTCGTGCCCACAGCTGTCCAGGAGAAGCTGCAGTTCCGGTGTGAGTTGCGACGCTGAATCAATCGCAGCTGTGTCGCTGATAAGACTTTCTAGACGACCAATAGCCGACGTTTGAATGGAGACTGAGGGGAATGCAAGCCTGGATCTGATTTCTTCCATGACCGCCATCATATATCCGAGGCAACAGGAAACGCAGAGTCAATTCGAATCGATGATCACAGCCGAAACCGCTAAAGTGATTCTTGAACTGACTTGAAATACACAACACTCAGTTCTTCTTGCAAGAATGATCACTGGTAACTTTGTTCATCTGGACAGCAAGCGTCTGCAAGATACAGCAACTGAAAAAGTGAACTACTGAACACCCGATAACGACAACAACGACTGACTGACGTTCGTCTCGCTCACAGCAAAAATGACCTTGCAGAGATAGGCGTATGAACGAACTAAACAAAAATGACACTGTTTGCATGGGTTTTATCAGATACTAATACACGTGTGCACTGAACTACACGTAGATCTACGAAGCCTAGCTAGCTTGGCCCGCTACTGCGCTAGTCTTGGCCCGGGCCGTCAGTCGTCACATCCTAGCTAGCTACCTACATGTAGGCTTGTAGGTCTATGGTCTACGTGGGGCAAGGCCGTTGGGGGTTGATATCCACGCGTTGTCATTTTAGCTCGAGGTCATCACTTGAACCCACTCAGTGCCCACGCCAGTGAGCAGCCGCCTTGGCTTGGCATACTAGTACTAGTAAAAGTACCTTCTTCTAAGGTCCTTTAGTCTTTAGTCTTTAGTTTAGTATTATAATACTTTACAGATTACAGTCACAATGATTGTCATGATGAGGTGCGACCATAGTCATTGTACCGGCACATGAGTCATGAGTCATGACTGTGTGATTGTGTAGACACGTGCACGTAACAGTAAAAAGTCATGTACTACTCACACCTTTTAATTCTTTACTCTTTAGTAGGGATGTCAGCGAACGCACTGCGCAGGCCTCTGCGCATGCATTGCGTCATCGATTTTTTGAACGTGATCGCGGCCGACAGAGAAAACATGGCCGCGGTCTGTTTGCACCGCTGGGAGTCGTAAAATTACTGTTCTTCTGTCCCCGCGACCATTCAAAATACGCGATACAGGAGGACCCACGAGCTCACCACGTTCTCCCCGGTCGATTTCTCTGAAAGTTTGCACATCGTGAAACACCAGTATGAGAGGTGTTCAGGCCAATTTTCAAGGGATTACCCTGGTTGGATCGTTCCAAAATCGGACTTGCATTTCTCGCTCGCGGCCATTTCTTGCGCGATGGAAGCGCTCTGCCCTGGTGAGTAACCAGCGTCGCGCTTGGTAGAGAGTTGCTGCAATCAGCTCCCTGATGTCTTCGCTGCCATTGTCAGAAGCGATGGACCCTGAATTTGTTTGAGAGTCTCTGGATGCTACTTTTCCTCAGCCTAGTTTTCAGCCATTCCGTGCATCTTCTTCGCACGATTTATTTTGCAAAAAAATGAAAGGGTTCATGAGTTTTCTTGTCGGCCGCGCGTAGATGGGCCAGGCTGACCTGCGCAGATGGGCTGCGCAGTGCGTTCGCTGATATCCCTATCTTTAGCACTAAGTGTGACTGTACATGTACCTGGCCACGTGTCATTGCTACAATCATAAAAAGCACGTCGGTAGACTCTACGGTGTAAAAGGACGTTGGTAGCGATGTAGTCAGGTAAATGCATACAAGCCATGTATGAAGCATGCCCAGCCGAGGCAGCTACATGTACTTACACGAATCCGGAGAAATGATTTTAGAAGTTTTCTTTTAGAATACTGGAGATCGCTATGGAAGAAACGTACGCGACGTGAATTTCAAACAGACGAAGGAAATGAGGCAGCTGATAATCAGATTCATTTTTCAAGCCCATAGCAACTAAGCTTTGGTTCAGTCTGTGGACCTCACCTTCAAAAATCTATGGCCATGCTGATTAGAGGCCGTAGACCGCAGTTCATGCAGTACTTTACCAGTACTAAAAAATAAAATAATTCGGTCGGGAGGGTGAAAATTTGGGGCTGGGCGCGGACGATAAACAATCATTTTTGTACTTGGCCTTAGCCTACAGATTAGTGATTACAGTGATCATGATGAGGTGCAACCTTGTACATAGTCATTGTACCGGTGTCACATGACTGTGTGATTGTGTAGACACGTAACAGTACTACTAATAAGTAATAATAATAGAAATGGCAGTTCGCATATCACTCATTGCATGAGCTATGAGGTCAACGCATCTGTTAACAATTTCAAGCCAACAGTACTATACCGGTATATCTTTACTTATAAAGAAGAGGCACCTGTGACGTGTGTTTGTTTGTGTGTCACCCTGAGCACGCGAAGCGTGCGAACAGTGTAGGTAGCTAGCGGCCGCAGAAGCACAGACCACGCGAAGCGTGCGAATCGTGTAGCTAGCGGCAGCAGCCACAGAAGCACTGAGCGCCGGAAGGGTGCGAATCGTGTAGCCACCACCACGTGCTGAGCACGTGTGCTGTTCATGTACTTGCTTCACCCGCGGCCGGCCCGGCCGGGTGAAGCAAGTATACTTGCTTCACCCGCATGCCACGTTCGGCCAGGCAACGCTGGCGGGGTGCTGCTATAATAATTATTACTACTATGTACTAACACCTTTACTCTTTAGCACTAAGTGCTACATACATGTACATGACTGTACATTTACCTGGCCACGTGTCATTGCTACAAAGTGCAATCATAGAACTGTGACGTCGGTATGTAGCGAAGTGGTCTGTAGTACCAGGCTGGTCGTTAGTCACGGTGGTCTTTAGTTACAGGTTTTTACTGTAGGCACATGTAGATCTACTTCTGTACCCGCTGAGTGAGGGCACCGGCCCCGGATTTCCATGTACCCGAGGGACCACGACAGTAGTAGTACTAGAGTAGAGGATCGAGGAGCGAGCAGCTGTTTACAGCTGTTGTCGAACAGGGCTACAACTTCCGCGTCATCCATCCCACTACATGGTACTAGTATACTCAATCTACATGATTGTATAACAAAACTAACACTATTCCAAAGCCGCGGACTGGGTTCAAGGGAGTACGTAAATGCCTTTACTTGAGAACGGTTTTGTTCACAACACCAATTTGTGGGATGGACGACGCATCTCAACTTCCCAAGATAACGTTCCTGTTTCCGGAGCGGCACTCGTTGCGTACTCCCTTGAACCCAGTCCGCGGCGGCTTTGGCATAGTGTTAGTATTACTACTATTGTATACTTATACAGTACAATGATTTTGTAGTGGGATGGATGACGCAGAATTAACAGTTACCGGTAGTTGCAGCCGTGTTCGATAACAGCTACTCGCTCCTCGATCCTCTACTCCGCTGCACGCCAGCCGTCATGCCGAGGCGATAGTCTACTACTACTTACTAGCGGTCTCCGTGAAAACTGATGTCAGACTGCTGACTTGTAACTGGTGTAAGGTTGTACATGACGCAATTGTTAGATTGACAGCATGAAACAAGGTGGAGGACACTGTGTTCGAAAACAGTGACCTTACTTCAGCCTTCCGCGGTGGGACCGGGGCTCTACCAACCGCGGAAGGTTGTAGTAAGGTCACTGTTTCCGAACACAGTGTCCTCCACCTTGTTTCATGCTGTCAATCTAACAATATGTGTGAACTATAACAAGGTTTATCTAATACTACTAGTTCTGAACTAGTATTGGGTTATATTATACCAAAGTTGTACTTGTAGCAAGAGTGTATAACCCCCTGGGGGGTTATATACTCTTGGTTGTAGAGTTAGTCGCTTATAATCAATAGGGCTTGAAAGTGCTACGTCACAGCATAGCAACAATTAATTTGAAAAATTCAAAACTGGATCCGCTTGGATCCAGGTTTTGTATGAATACAAGCACATTTCAAGCGATCTTACTCACAGCAAGGTGATGTAGCCAGTGAAACTGACTGGATTGGCTAATGGGGGCGGGGTGACAACTGGTGGCGAAGAAAAAGTCACACCTGCGTACGAAATGCGTCGGTTGCTATGCGCCCACACACTGAGGCAATAGCAAAGTCACACTGGTGCTGTTTCCTGATGCTGGTAGTAGCGACACTTGGCTTGCAGCTGCAGCCATGCTAGCTGTAGCTGACCTTTAATAAAATTGCTTTAAACTGGTCCGCTAATGTGTCTTGTACTTCGAAGTATGATTTGCATCCTTTGCGGAAATAGTTGGGTTCTGCGAAGGAGTGTTTCCATCCTGAGCGGGTATAAGGACAGACAATATTCGGAAGAATTGTGTGTCGCTCCCTACATGGGAGCTCGCGAATTTTCCTGCCGACTTGACACTTGACTGACTCACGACAGCCACCCCTGAGAGCACTCCAGAAGTCCATCCAGCCTTCCACTTAGCAAACCTGCAAGAAAGCACCACTCCGGACTCCCTGATCGATACACAGTGTCTTCTAGAACTCACCCCTCATTAGTTCAACTAACTAACTTGAGCAGGCTAAAGAAATGTGTGCACCGAGAAGGCATTTCCCAAATCGGCCCGATTTTTTCACCTAATCGGCTTTGCGATCGGCTACGGGAATGTCCAAATTCGGCCATATTATGAGCCCCAAAGTCAGACTTCGGCTCAAAGCAGTACTTGAATTCACCGCTTGTAATGCAGTGTCAGGGATTGGTATTATATAACCCAATACTAGTTCAAAACTAGTATTAGATAAACCTTGTTATAGTTCACACATATTGTTAGATTGACAACATGAAACAAGGTGGAGGACACTGTGTTCGGAAACAGTGAGCCCAGTGAAGGATCAGGCCGATTCAGGCGCTAGGCTAGGCCATGTAATGGCGCCAGAAGGGTAGATCTACCTGCAAAAGGTGATACCGGTAGGGTAGTGGACCGTATGCGTGATAAAACAAGATGGCGTCAATGTCAACCAGATCGTGCAGGAGAAGACTGGGGTGTTGGCGTCCAGTGTACAGACACCAGTCACATTTCCTGTGTCTTTTGCAGCATACAGGCTGAGACCTATCACTGTAGAGTCCACTACTGCATGAGTTATAATTATTTGTTCAATACATAGCAGGCGTACACGGTGTGCCTCGCAGGACTGCGAGATGCTGCAGAAGACCAGGTTCAACCTTTCTGGAAGGCCATTCACCGACGGTGGGCTACACGATGCTGGAGGAACTAGGTTCCAGTGAAAACACAAGATTCCTTTGCTCCTGGACGCTCCGACGGGTTGTGATATCTGCCAGGTGCGCGTAACTAGTATTTTCATCGCTATAGCGAGGACGACGCCGATCGGCAAAACTCTCGCTCACAGCCATCACCAGCCTCTCAAAAACATCACTTGGCATCCCCCAGAGCCTCTGAGGTATAGGAGAAAGCCAAAACAGCTC